AATAATTATCTATATTTATGTACAAGCTGTTTAGATTGTCAAAAAGCCTGTTTTTTTTTTAGGGTTATTAACGAAGTTCATGTACTCAGACCAGTAATATTTGGGGTCACAAGTTTTTGCCATGGATATTTTGTGGGTCAGAAGATAAAAAGTTTGGGAACCACTGGTCTAATCCATGCACACATTCCCCTCTGACATCACTTCCTGTTACTTCACATGCAAATATCTCAATAAGTGTTCATCTCAGCAGCAGGGATTTATTTTTGCAACATGTTATTGATGTTATCTTTCCAATAATGTCTTTATGTTTATTTTAAAATGTCGTGTCACTGGTACACACACACACACACACACACACACATACACACACACTTGATCTCCTGCTCACCTTTCCTCACCTGCCCTCTTGGATCTTTACCCAGTGACCTCCCCCCTCCCTCTCAGCAGGGTTAAGGTGCTGTGAGTGAATGGCTCTAAGTCAGAATAATCCAGCAGGATTAGATCTTATTTCTGTTTCTGGATGATTCTTTCTTCTATTCGGAGCCTCTGGCTGCCGTTCACCATCATGGCTGATAAGTGAGCTGGTGCCTGTGCCACAGAGACCCAGTGCTGCACACTCAGCAGCCTGCAGGACATTTGTTTAAACCCCAACAAACGACACATGAATGAAGTCAGAGCAGAGAGCAGCCTGTCTCCTGTCTCCTCTCTGCAGAGGAGTTCACACAGTGGGGGGGGGGGGATCACACTTCATAGTGATTCAAACAACAAAAACTCTTCTCTTTAAAGATGAAATGTTTGTTTTAAAGTTGAGCTCTGAAGTTTAACAGTTTCAGTCTGAAGATGACAGGAAAGTTAATCACGACGCACCAGCAGTGGTTAGCAGGGTTCTCAGTTCTGCCTCCACACAGTCTTTGTTTTTCATTATTATTACTGACAAGATTAACCAACAAAAAGAAGAAAAACATTCACACAGCTATGGTTTAAAGTTTTCTTGTCAGAACAAATTTAAAAAACAAAAATAATACTCGTCATTTTCTTGTAGACTTGTTTTCTTCAGTTCATTGCTTAAATTCTCACAATTAAAACCAATGATTGAAAACTTCCTGTCATCCCTGTGAATTCAATTTTATTTGGCATTTTGATATAAAATTTCTTTGCTTCGCTACATTATTTACATGCATGTAATACCTGTAAACACTACAGTTATTTATTTTCTGTTTTAATTCTTCCATTTAAACTTCTCTAATTTCATTGTATGTATTTATTGTTACTTAATGACTGATTGAGAACTCTGTTGGTTTTGCGCTGCCTGCTGCTCATCTGTTTATTCTGTTGTGCTACTTGTACAGTGACAATAAATTAATTCTAATTATTTACATTTGTATTCAGTCTGGTTTTAGTCCTCTCTGATTGCATCGTCTCTAACCCTGGAGTTAACTCCAAAGATGTGGGATTAATTCCACTTGTTGGTCAATAATCCACTCTAATCCCGATCAGCAGCTGAATTATCCTCAGCAGATCTGCATATAGTCCAGGTTAACCACAGGCAAAATCATTTACACTCAGGCAACGTTGTCCCAGCTGCTGCTTCACATGTCAGAGTGAAGACGGGAGGTTTGTTGTTGTTTGTTTGTTTGTTTGTTTGTTGTTTGTGCGTCCTGTAAGGCGGCGGGCTCCTGCAGTGCTTGTGATGGGTTTCTAACTACAGGGTGCTGTTTGTAAAGTTACACAGTCAAAAATTACCACC